AGAATATTGAAATTCGCTTGTAAATAAACTTACGCGCGACTTGAAGTCACGTGGATTGCGCGAGCGATCGATACTTATAGTACGGCCGATAGTATCGGTGTTTTTTTCGTTAAAACCAACAAAGACAAGTATCCTTCAAAGGGATGACCGAAAAAATAAATTGCAATGCATAGGAGACGACCGTGGTATTACACCAAATTGTTTACAATGAATTCTCTAAACAACTCACTATTATCGAGTGTGCGAAAAGCCGTAATTGACCGCGCTTTCTTCGCAGAGACGTCAAAGGCCTATGTACCTGAACGTCTTTACTGCAGTGGCGTAATAAGGTTTCCGATTTACTTGAACCCCCTTAGAATATAGGTTAATTTCGCGCCCACCGGATCGGGTCCTGTATGGTTTTTGTAGAGATTTCGGGACATGCGCGTGGATATACAGGTCGCGTTCACGGAATGCGCGCGAATCGGGACCGTTCGCGACTAGTGACGGCGGATCGCGAACGGGGCGCCGCCCGTAATCTAAAATAATTGTATTGTTACAATTTACAATGTACAGTTTACGTACAAACGGTATTTGTTATAAACGCCGCGTTTCTAAATCGTCGGTTTCGGACAAATATACGTGTAGATATTAAATGCAGTGGAACCCCGATGGGTCGTGTGCCTAATCATTTGTCAAAATCGGTTTTGTGCGTCTCGTAACGTTTTGGTTTAAAGAGGGGTTCCTTTTATCCTTGAATATCTTAGAATAGTATAGTAAATCTAATAATTACTATAGCGCCCCGGCGTTGATGTCACAGGACAGATTGAATTATACGTGAAATACAAAAAATATATCAAATTTAAAATCGGATTTTTTTTTCTCATTGGTTTAGCCCAAGCGCACGTCACGCATAACAAACGATTCCGAAACACGGTGTCTCCCTCCTCGACGGAATCGCCCCGAACACGGCGCCAAGTCCGACAGCGCGGTACCCGTCTTCCCGTGTGTACCAGCCGCGCACTCCCGGGGATTCGGCCGGACTATCGCGTGCCGCTTTTAAACGTTTCGCCGCCGTCGGCAGTGCGCGCGCGGCCAGAGAACGACCGGCCCGGGGAAGCGCGATCGGAACGGCGGCGCGCACCGGCAAAAGCCGCGCGGCGACGCGTACACGCGTTTGTGTACGCGTTCATCCGCTCGGCCGTGCGCACGATAACAAACACTAATAACGTTATCGTAACGTCCGCGACACCGCGCCGCGCCGCCTGCTCGCTCGCTCCGTCGTCTTTCGCTGCTGTCCGCGTCCGTCCCGGCACGCGCGGCCCCCGTCCCGGACGTCGCCGTCGGCTTTCGGGACCGGCCACGTCGCGACCCGAACCCCGGTAACGGTATACGCGTGATGTCCGTGCGTACGTGCACGGGTATTGTGACCGCGGCAAATCAGCCCGGGTATTTGCGTCGGTGGGCGTGTGCGCGCGCCGGCGCGGGCGAGCGGCGGTGACGCGGCGCGCCTACCTACCCGCGGCGTGATATGATAACACGGACAATATCGTAATATAGTTACGGTAACGTTACGCGCGTGTTGTTTCGGCCGACGGCCGGCCGGAATTCTCACGATACGATAACGATTACGATACGCGCGTACGCGTCGTCGGTCGTATTATTATTGTTATTGTCGCGCGCGTATTTATTGTTGTGCGTCGCAGCGAAGATTTAACAAAAACTCACCTTGCTCTCATCGCCGCCGCCGCCGCCGCCGCCGCCGTCCATTGTGGCGCGCGGCGGTTTTTTGATGTGCCGATTGAATTGTCATCGGGCCGTCGCGACGCAACGACAATAAAAGAGCCGCCCGCGTGTACCGCCAGGTAACAGGTACACGGCCCGCGGTCCGTGACTTTACACGTTCGTCGCCATTATCGTAACGTCGGGATATTTTACGGACGTTCGCGACGACATTTTTTTTTTTTTTTCTACTGTTGTTCTCTTTATAAATATTTTCGACGACGATATTACGTATATATATATATATTTTTTTTTTATTATTATTATTATTATCGTCGTTCTCTGGGGCTCTTAAAAAGAAGCCGACAAACGCGCCCGCACACAATACACCCGGTATACCGCGCGCATCGATAACACCCGCGCGCGAAATTGAGATCTCCGCCCCGGATATCGGAACGCGTTACGGGTGCCCGCCCGACGCATTAACACGCGGCGCGCCGCGGCGGTGCCGCGGCCGCGCGATTTTCACCGCCCGGTGTGGGGCCCCGGCTTTCGCCGGTGTCCGCGCGACTCCCGGCCGTTCTCCGCGCGGCGGCAACAATGACGGCGATAATAAATGCCCGGCACAATAAATACGACAATTAATCTCTTTGCGGAAATTCGGTCCGCCCAGAACCCGCGCGCGTTGTACGGCGGGAGGCTTTTTAACAACCGTGTGCACGCCGTGCGAAACAAATCGCGGTGTCTCAATCGATCCGGATCGGTTTTTGGCGACCGGTATAATCGTCTTACGAAAGACCGCTGCCGCCGCCGCCGCCGCCGCCACGTGTGTTTTTGATAATTATCGTCGGCCGGTCGGTACGGAAACCACTTTGGATTTTCGTACCAAGAGCATAATAATAATAATAATAATAATAATAATAATAATAATGATAACAAATAATATCCAATTACAATCGGACCGACGGCGATAATTGCGACGTTTTGCGAAATCCGTAAACGCGGGACGACCGTCGACCACGTACGTCGCGTGTATAATATTTCGGCGTGCATGCGACGTTCGAAGATTCCGACGGTGTCTGTATAGTCGTTAAAGACTGCGACAACTCAAAGGAAAACAAGACGGACGTGCATCGCAACACGGGCGGGCTACTGTTGCAGGCGAGAAGTCGGGAAGACAGGACATTTAGCGTAAATCCGCGCTCGACGATTAATCGTCGCGGACGAAAAACGATTCTGAACGGAGTTAAACGATTTTCATCGACATTTGATATTAAAATTCTCATAAAAGAAAACACTGCGTTGAATTCAACGTTTTCTTGTTTAATCTCCGGAACCTCTAGACACCTCCTAAACCTCCAGATTCAGAAAACGGCCGATGACATTATCAATCGTTTAAAACATTAAATTCCATAAAACTGATACGCCTCCGATTCTCCTTCAAAAGCAGCCGTTTGAAACGGTCGCAGATCGACGACAGACAATAGCAATAAGCAAGCAAGATAACGCATAAAAATGGGCGGAGCTCTTCGCTAAAACTGACAGAGTGTTTTAATTGGTTGCATTTCACATAGTTACCCTCAATCATTTATCAGTCCACCTCTCTTTATCCGCTTGTCGACCACGTCCTCCAGTTAAAATTTGTAAACATGAATACATTTATTGTCGAGAATAATATACGATTATAGCACTCCAGACAATTGTACCCATATATATTTGTGTACAACTTTTTACCGAAAATCGTGCGCCAATCACAGAACAACAAAAAAAACTTTTTTTTATACCATTTTATATTCTGAGTTCAGCGAAGAATGTATTGGTTTTACAGAGATGTTTGTTAATTTTTTTTTTTTATGTAAACACTTTTTCTACCAGAAATCTTATTCCGATTATCAAGTATAGCACTTTTGCTGAAAGAAAATGTTTTGTGGGCGGTACTTTAAATGAGTTATTTTTTGAGATTCTCATTAATTTTCGAGATAATGAGAAAAACCTGGTTCTTCAGGTTAAAAAGGATTGAAAGATTAAAAATAAGGTTGTCATTGGCAACTGTTTTTATTTATTTTTTGTTATAATTATGTTTTTATTATTTTAATCTTTTTTAAACAATCATTGGTTGTCATCGAAACGCAAATTGCTGTAATCATTTTACCATAATATGGCATATATATTGTTGACAAAACAATGCTATCAACTGAACCCCGCTCAGAATAGTTTTTTCGTTAGCAATGTTTAATCGTTACTTTTAGATATACATTAAATTCAATTTTAAATCCTACCGTCCCAACTTCTCACCTACAACAGTGATTGCGCCCACATGTGAAGTATGTCCGTCCTTTTTATAATTGAATTAAAAATTATTTATTTATAAAAGATTAGGCCTGACAACAAAAATTCATTCAAATATAACACGAGATTTAATAGTTTTACTTAGTGGTACAATAAAAAAATCGAGTGTAACCGCAGTAGATAGTTTTTTTTTTTTTTTACAGTTGATTTTATTTAGAATTTCGACGAAAATCTTTACGATCATTTTATGTATCCTACCTTCCGAACAACTCTACTGCAACAGTGACACACACTGACTGTTTATTAGTAGTATTAGTTTTTTTTTTTTTCTTTTGAATTGTTTTCTTTGTAATTTATCCGTATACGCTAGAAGGGTTTTAAAGCCGTTTTAGATGGAAAATTAGCGGGACATTTGATTAGAGCTCGTTATCCGATTTGTATACTATATCCTAAATCGTGGGCTTAGCGTAATACTGCAGTCGTGTGCCATTAATCGTCTCGTAGACCGGTTTGCAAATTTTTAAACCGCATACACGTTTTTTTTTTTATTTATTTTTTTCATTTTAATTTAGTACACAACAGCGTAAATTATAAAATCTAGTTGAACGCGCATTCTACGAACTCAATATAATACTTATGACGGTATTTTTTTTCTAACGACAGGTTTCGCCCGTCGTTCGTTGTAAAAATATGTTTTTATTTGAACGGAATGCACTCATTTACCTGCATTTAACAACTTATTTGTTACCTATACATAAATGTATCCGTACTCGTGAATATAATTTAAGTTTGATATTCCGTTTATGAAAAAACGATCGAAAATATATTATGGAATGGCGTATGCAAAAAAAAATAATAAAACCGATTTTGTATATAATCGATAGTACGTTGTTTTAAATCGTCTTTAAATCATTTCAATACATAAGTGTGTAATCAGTACAAAAGCTTAAATGGGTATCATTTTTATCTATGTTCGTCGTCGTCGGCCGATTATTCGGGTTCGATCGATGTCATGCTTGACTGCTGCACGAAGCTGAACTGAAATCTGTAGTGCTCTCGTTTGAAGACGTAGAGCTCTCGCGATATCCTAAAAATGAGTTCGTGTCGACCAGTACCTGTACACAAAATCTGACTAATTCCCTAAACAATTCATACTGCCCCGTAACGTGAAAAGTCTCCAATATGTCTGCTGGACAATTGTAATGTTGGAGAATTTTCGTGAAATATTCCAACACGTAACGGTAACAATCGTCGAACAATTGCGTCCACGACGTGTTTAAGGATAGATTTTGTTTGATGTGATTGTCCAACAACGATAGCCGATCGTGAATTTCACCGCTGAAACAATATACATCTATCTAATGATCTAATAATTCGAAAAATGTAAATAACAAAAAAAGTGCAGATACTGCCGATGTGTGTGCGACTATTTTTGTTGAAAAATTAGGATACATAAAATTATTTAATCTATATCTGTGTGCAATGATAAACCAATAAACCGCTGGCCAAAAACGATCCTGAGCGAAATTCGGTTAAACATATTTTTAAATGCTAATTTCAGAGTTTTAAGATCGTAAAACGTATAAACAAAAAACTATTGCATTAAGTACTTTTTACCATTAAGTTAAATTCACAATGAATCTTGTATTAAATTTGCAAGCATTTCCAATCATACGATTCAATCCGCGTTAAACCAAATGAAAACTAAAATAAACACTGGGCACTTTTACACGTAGGTGGGCCACTGTTGTGGGTGATAAGTTGTCAAGGTAGTAAAGGGGAAATTTTATATATATATATATATATATATGTAAGCAACAATAAACCGTTGCTAATGAAAAAACGATTCTGAGCGGAGTTCAATTGATAGTGTAGCTTTATCTACAATATATATGTTATATTATGTTTGTTTAATGTTGTACCTATTTTCCCGTTTTTCCAACGTTTTTTCTGGTTTGCCCATATCTTTGCCCTGTTTTTCACATTTGCTTAGAAAATTGCTGGGAAAATCGAAAAATGACCTCCTTAAGTACCTCTTCAGAGAGATATCCTTTTAATAAAAGTGTTAAACTTGTAAATCGGAGCAACATTTCTGGTAGAAAAGTTATCCACAGAAAAAAAAAAACATCTTTATAAAACCACAAGTTTTTTCGCTCCACTCAGAATCTAAAACCTACGAAACTGTCGATGTACAGTTGAATCTATCGCTAGTAAGAGACCTGAAAATACGTACAAAGAAGCGAATTAACGGTTCCGTGTGCACCTCGATATTAGATTTTTGAAATTTAACCCCTTAATGAGACGCACCCAGGATTTTTCGTATAATGACTAAAATTGAATTTTTTATTTTTTTGTTGACTTTCAGTTTACCCCGGTGATACGGATTACAAAAACTGACGTTGAATTGGATTCGTTTTTAAAATTTCAAATAAAAATGCAGGTAGCACATTTCAATTTTTCGCAATACACACAAATTCATAATGACCACTCTCATATTTAACATTACTACCTAACCTGTAGTGTGTCATATTTGTGTAATACCTACACTAAAATATGTATACTTATACTAATATGTATACTAGCACAATAATATTGTCAATATTTGATATTATCATGAATTTTTTTTGTCTTTTTTGTATGAAACCTCTTCTACGCATACAATACCAATGCATACCTCAACACCATGAACAGTTCTCTTGACGCCCATTTATAAAATATTCGCAACGCCATCAGATAGCTGGATTTGACTTTTCTCCCGATAACGTCACACATTTCGCCTAGTACGTCGGGTTCGTCGGAGAAAGGGTTACGGGTGAATTGTTCGACGGCATCGGGCCGTTTGATTAACAAATCGTATATCCATTTCAATAGATCCACGGTCAGCGGATTCGCGACGAAAATCTCGAAATATTCCCAATCGTTTACAGGGTCGTTCTCGTGCAAAAAAATCCTGGCGTTTCTTGACCCGCGGTTATAGACTTGTTTAAAACTCGGTTGTTCGTGCAGTGCTCTAATGTGGTTGAAAATAAACGCGTTTTTCAAATCGACCATCGTATCGTAACCTCTTAAATAGAAAACAAAGTTAATACGAAATTCCCCTGTGTTGTTATCGTTAATTAATATTATACACGTGTTATATGCTATAGAGGAAACGGTTTTATACGTGCATTTATAATACGGTGTACCCACACGAACGTCGTGTACTTAACATACACGTGTATTGATTCATGAAACAAAAACTAGACGTATATTTTAAATACACGTGTATAGAATGGACAATTTTATTGTTCGGTCCAACCATCTGTATGGTACTCATTAGACCCCGATAATCAATCGGATTAAAAATCCGATGTTCCTCAAAAATTGTACATATTTGTCTATCGGTCCGATTGTCTGTCGATGTATCCGATAGACAATCAACAAACATGACTAGGGCGTGAGAATAGCGAAGGCGACGGTAATGTTCATAAGGTTTGTCAACAATAATCAATCCGGTGTTCTATCGGACTGAAAACTAGATGAGCTGCCAATTTTTATGAGGAAAACACGGATGGCGAACCCGAACAATTGTCTAACCACGGTCCAATTGTCCATTCTATACGTGTAATAGGAACTACTTTAATAATATATACGCGTTTACTGTATAATCATGTATATATCATTTCAGATCTCGAAACGAATCAAATAAACTCGTTTAACTGTTCAAAATTAAAATTGCATATGAACCAAACGTGAATTAAGTTCGTATTTTCAATGAAGTTGAATTTGAATGGGATCGTTCGTTTCAATTCAGGTTACAAATTTTACGTTGACAATTTAGGAAAATAATCTACTGGCAAATTCTACTGTGATGTCCTATCGAGATGAATTAAATAGTAGGTACGCATTCGTAGGTACCTATAATAATATGATATTTAATCAAATCACTGACACTGCGTACATTTGGTAAAAATTACCAGTGAAACTAAGCGAGTTTATTTAAATTAAAAAAACTAATAAAAAATAAACATTAATTAATATTGATTTAAATTAACGTTCCAAAGTCTGGTATTCAAACATAGCTAGTATAATAATTCCAACGGATTATTATGGTTTACGGGCTCACGTTAAAAAATTGAAAGCGGCAAATGCGACCATGGCGAGATCGCGCACGGACAGTTCTCCGTTATCGGCTGCCGTTTTATAAGTTTCGATCAAACTGTCCGGCACGCCGACTCTCGTAATCTTATTCTCAAACTTTTTGCGCCATGTTCGGACCACTTCCAGAGCGCGTTTATCTTTCGGTTTACTGAAATCCTTCGGACGATAAGTTTCGTCGCCGAAAACATACCTGCAATTATTTATGAGTGTGGTGTATTGATATACATATAAAACCGACGTATCTACAAAATGTACACTGCGAACATTATTAACGTACATATATTTTAACCGTAGAAATGTCAGAAATAAATAAATAAACGTAACAACGTACACATTTATTAAACGTATAGAAGACGACATTCACAACACTTAGAATTTCGTATTTGTACTCCTATATAATTACAACGACAATAATTTGTTATTTCGCGTGTTTACTGAATGTTTGGTTCAACGAATAATATATTTCGCATCAAAATAGCCGGATAGACTTCACTCCGTGGCCGGTGTTCATGAGAAATGGGGGGGGGGAACCAAAATGCGGTATGGTTTGGTTTATAAATTTATGATAAAGAAAAACATATTATCAATCTGCTTTCTTTAGTATCTATTGGTATGTTCAAAGGTCACCCACTCACTCAACAGTAATATTATAAAAACAAATGGACATATTTCGCACGTGGGTGGGCTACTGATGTAGGCGAGAAATTGGGAAGGTAGATGGGAAATTTAATGTATATCCGTACGCAACGATTAACCATTGCTGACGATTCTGAGCGGAGTTCGGTTAAAAATGTTGATTCGTCAATAGTATATATGTCAAATTATGATAAAATAATTACATATGCATTATAAATTTGTCTTTAATAATATTTGTTTAATATTGTATCTATTTTAAGGAAATTTATTGGAAAAACACCTAGGAAAATCAAAAAAATTATCTCCCTCAAATACCGACCCAGTAAAATCCCCTTTCAGAAAAGGCGCTATACTTGATACTTAGGAGCATGATTTCCGGTAGAAACTTCGTACACGGAATAAAAAACAAAAATAAATATACATCTCTGTAAAACTAATATACATTCAATATTTCTTTGGAATCAAATAAAAAACAATATATTAAAATATGAATTTTTTTTTTGTTGTGTAAATATAATTATTAGGTTTAAAATACTCAACGAGATCAGCTGACACTCAAATGGCACAGAAATACTTTCTGTGCCATTTACTGTTATCAATATGTTCAACAAAATTTTCTAAAAAAGAGCTGATACTGGGGATGGAAGCGGCCACTGTTGTAGGTGAGTAGTTGGGAAGGTAGGATACATATGGTTATTCATTAATATCAGTAAGGAACGATAAACCATTGTTTGATAAAAATATGATTCCGAGCGCAGTTTGGTAGTACCTAATTTGAAATACCGTAATTTAAAAGTAGACGGGTCGTCGTTTCATTACGAAAATAAAGACGATAAAAAATAATTGTAATATAACATTTAGAGCTGCTCATTTCTACGTTTTTTTCTTGGAAAAAATTAATACATTGGAAAATAACGAGTGTTTTATTCGATAAATTAATCGCCCTGTAAAAACGGGTACCTATTCATTTCGTGTAACGGAACGTATTTCGTAAAATCGTCGAGTTCCACGTACAACCGATGTTTTGGTAATGTCCGATAGCATTCGTCCACCCCTACCAGATCGTGAGACATTAGATCGTACAGCCCGTCGAACCTTTGTCTCAAAAGGTGCTCGCCGATACTGCAATACGAGTTCGACGACAAACTACAATCACTGCCGTCGTCCTCGGCCGCGGAGTTTTTGAACTGCGTGAACAGTTCGAACAATATTTCTCCGCAACATTTTAAGTCGACCGCGTCTAAAGGCTCGACGTGATTCTCGTTTTCGTCATTTGAATCCTGCGGTACAACACTCATCGTGCAACCGTAGTAATTTAAAATCGTCGATAACGCTATTATTATATTAATAATAACAAATGACAGTATGCGCCAGGGAAAAAAATCGAATACTACTGGTATTATTTTTGTTTGAAATATGCCCATTCTATAATTTACGGTTACTTCGGTAACCGTTTTTAAATCGCGTTGAAAACGTTCGAGGTAAACACCGTAAATCATATTATATTTACCGTCCCGACACGACAGGTTAAAACTATATCATTATTTATACATATACACACATATAATATATACGCATACAAAAAAAACTCTATTAAATGAAATTAAATGCGTATTACGGGCGTCTAAGAAAAACTCGTGTTTTTTATGCCGATATTGTTGATGGGTGTGCCACTTGTTCTAGGTATGAAGTTGAATTGCGTACTACGCAACGCTCGACATTTCTTTTTCTTTTTTTTTTAAACACTAATAACAACTTAAAATGAGACTCGCGTCAAACGCTCAAGCGTTTCGATTAAGTAAAATAATTGTGTCCGCGTAGTGTATTTAACTTCGAAATACGGGTTTTCCGGGTTTCATCCGGCTATTCAGAAAACTACACGGAAAATCAAAAACAACTGTCTATCAACCTATCAAACGGATCCGAAATTCAATAAACGAGGTTTCGTGACATTTTTCGATCGGTGCAAGATTTCTAGATTGAAAGTTGTTCGCACGCGGGAAAATAAATCACACATCACATAGTAAAACCGACGTCTGTACAGTTGCATTTTATTAAGTACCGTTTTGTCCGTTAATTGGTTTGAAATCCGCCCCGCGTGTGATCACGCCGTTTTGTTTTCATTTTTAAAGATAGTTACTATCGGCGCGGCGACATACCGAATATCAATTAATAATTGTAATACTGCACTTGGTACTATACTTACGCGCGTTAACATGAATCATCTTGAACGGGGAGACTTGTACACACTTTGGTTTCCAAAGAACAACGGGATATGCGTACGGAAATTGTGTAGTATTTTAACCGCGTGTACGTGGCGACGTTGAAGTACCTGCCCGTTGAAAATAATACATAATATCGTTTAAAGCGCACTCGCAACGTGTACAAATAATTAGGAAAACAACCATGAAAATTATTTATACGAAAAAAAAAAAAACGTCACACGTTATTATACCTGGTTGCCCGTTGCGTGCGCTCGTGCAAATCAACGGTAATAATATTGTTGTCGAACCCAAGGACATTGGAAACAAAATAACATAATTGTAACATCATAATTATAAAAAAATATATCAACGTAAAATATTTGATTCGGAGATTCTATGTTATGACAAAAGAAACAAAACAAATGAAGTTATTAGGTTTTGTTATATTTTTATGCGAGGTATAACGTAACATTATAACGCGTACACAGGAATGGTATTGTTGGTAAACAAATGTATACCTAATAATAATTATACGTAACGTTCTGTAGCTTTTCGAAAAAAAATTCGGAAGTCATTATTGTACCGTAATACCGAATCTGATTTATCTATTTACAGATTGCGCACAGTGGTACTATTATACGAGTAATTAGTTACAAACGGATTGTACGCTCGGAAATAATTTGGTTTTCCTGATATTTACACCGGCCGAATATAAAAACTTAATATTTCATCAATTTCCAGTCTGGGTTGGCAAACACCCGGGTTTTATTTAGAAACAAAAAAAAAAAAAAAGAAGCTTTTCTAGGATAATGGGGACGGGTGCAGCCACTGTTATAGGTAATTTAATGTATATCTGTAAGCAACGAAAAACCATTGATTACGAAAAAAAAATTTGCCTGAAAAACTCTCGGAAAAACCGAAAAATGACCTCCCTAAAGTACTTTCTCGGTAAAATTTTCTTTCGAAAACATTTCAATCATCATAAATTGGAGCTTAAGTGCTGGTAGAAAAGTTGCACAGAAAAAAAATCGTGATATATTACAAATATATTTCGTACATTTTCCCGTTTTTTTTTTTTCGGTTTATCATATTTAATGAGAAAACTCTCGAAAAAATCGAAAAATTACCTCCTTTAAGTACCTTATCAAACCGATTTCCTTTCAGAAAAGTCACTTCACTTAAAAATGTTTTCTGGTAGAAAAGTTGCGTACAGATAAAAAAAACCTTTGTAAACCATAAGCTTCTTTGCTCCACTCAGAATCTAAAAAAATAAAATAAAAAATAAACATTATTATAAAACCAGTAAATTCCTCGCTTCTCTCAGAATCTGAAACGTCAATTTTTATCAGAGAATTTAATTTTAACCTTATGTCTCGTACGAAATAAACTAATTAGCCGAATACGAATTAGCCAAACGGTTTATCTAACTATTGAAATCAACAAATATTTACTTGAAGTATAAAGTTATTTAAGATATAACATTTCTAGTTGTTCTCGGAATTATTTCTTATTATCGATTATATTTTAGTAATTTTATAGAAAGGCACTTATAATTTTTATCTTGGTTTTTTATAATATGACTTGTTGATTATGTTGTTTTTATTCTACCTTAAATTAAGATAAAAATTAATCTATTAAGGTCTTTAATAAATAAATTAAATAATTATATAATTATAAATTCTATAGTTAGGTAGTTATGAATGTTTTAAGAGTTATAATTGGTTTTCTATTAACAAATATAAATTTGTAAACAAACAAAAATAATTTAATTTTGTTTCCAATAATTGTTACAAGTAAATAGAGAAAAAAAACTAAAAAAAATGCGGATTTTATTAAACCCGGTAAATGTACCTAGGTAGATTAAGTATGGTAGGTTTTCTTTAGGTGGAGATTTTAAAAACTTTACGCGGCACCTTGCTATGAAGAGGAAAACGAATTCGATTACATACAAATAATGGGTACTTATATTTGTATTGAATGGTCGACAGGATTCGATAAACTGTCATACATTTTTAAAAACACTGCTAAGGTTTTTTTTTTAGCAGGGGAAAGAGCTTTAGTTTTTAATGACCAAACAAAAAAAAGTTGTCCTAGGATAATGGAGATGGTTGGCAGCTACTATTATAAATAATTTTAATGTATACCTTTAAGCAACAGTTAACCATTTCTGACGAAAAACGATTCTGAGGGGAATTCAATTGATAGTGTTATTTTATCAACAATATATGTGTCATATTATGGTGAAATAATTACATATGCATTATTTATTTCCATTAATATTTGATATTGTACCTATTTTCTCGGTTTTCTCACGTTTTTCCCGTTTATCGGGAAAACTCCTGGAAAATTCAAAACATGACCTCCTTAGCTAGAGTACCACCCCAGTAAGGTTCGCTTTCAGAAAATTGAAAGGTTTGGTTTTGAACGTCCCTATCAAGTTTTGATTGGAGCAACATTTCTAATAGAAGTGTTGTAGACTGACACAAAACGAATAATTGTATTATTTTTATACTTTTCCAACTATACTCACCTACAGTGTCCGTATAGCGCGATTCACCTATGCAGGGCTTTTATTTTAAATCTATATCAAAATATATCGAAAAGTCAAAAATAAAAGATAATATTTTAGAGTGTACTATTACCGATCAAATTATCCTTGTTATACTGATATAAAAAAAACCGTAGTTATTGAACAAAAAAAAAAACAAAAAAAAAAAAAAATCGATTTCAAGTGCGATTTCTCGTTGTACGAATCGAAAAACTCATTAAGCACAAATTTGTACGCGCATTACTATAAAATTTTAATAATAATATGTACAATGATTGCACTTAAAACCGGTACAGGTGACCGGTACACCGCCTAATGACGAGATCCGATTATTGCGACGGATTTATCAAACTCGATCAGTCGCTGCGGTTACGAACAAAAACGGCGTTTTTGAAAATGCGATTTGTATTGTGTACGCTTGCGCATTACAATAGCGCGGGTTTAAAATTACCGATTACAATAAACCGTAATGAGCGACCTAACCGCCAACATTGTACGGCAACAACGAGCGTTATTCGATTTTCGTGAGCATCATACCAGACGAACATTTTACCCCGAAAGGTTTATTCGAATGCCGCGTGCGAACACCTAATATTGGGCCACCGGGTCTGCAGAGAAACGTCGTTGTTCGTTTCGTCCCCGTCGCGTCGCATAACCACCAAGACGGCAAATACTACACCGTGTCAATATGATACTGTTGAAATGCTTTATGGTTATTTTCGTCGGACAATTTTTAGACGTGACATCGGTGGTAAGCACATACAATATTATTATGCCGACCCCCGGGGCCGCGTTAAGCTCAACCATAGCCCTAGACGCGTGTTCGTCGATAGCCCGTTGTAAAAAAAACATCCAAACGACACACTTCTATGATAACCGACGCCTTGCGTGTGATTTAAGTATTAAAATTCAAAATCGCTACATGTTACTTAATCTATTTTAATATGCTTAATTTCGGTATACTATCGCGCATTACTAGAAATAAAATACCCCCTGCCATTGTCTAGCCCTAGACACGTGCCTACATCGCCGATACGTCAATCCGGGCCTGATTTACTCCTGATTGACCGACACCTTTTATCCGAATACGATGACCTCAAAGGTGAATTAGAATATCGACGTCGATACCGATGCACGAGAGCTGAGTTAAAAAACTGGAGAAATCGATGTAAAAAATTCCCTAATTAATATTCTTGTAATTTCATATGCAGTGTATGAACAAATAAAAATATGTTTCTTCTGCCATCGTAATAAGGCTCGAAAAACACAATTTAGACGCATTTAAATATTTATATTATTACCTGACTGCTTAAATTTGAAATCTTACTCAGAAAACCGAAACGTTTATGAAGTTTCTATTCAATTATATTCCTCATAACAATAATATTTTATTAATAATCTTTTTACCAAATTATAGGTTTTGAATTAAAAATGCCATTATGTAATGCCTTATGTAATAATAAAATATGATATTGTGAATAAAAATTAAATAGCTAGAAAAAAAAAAAGATAAATTATACAGGTTATAAGTCGATATTATAATTTCCAGTACAATCCAATGTTGACATACAATATTCGTTTCAACAAACTGCGCTTTTTGCCAAATGTAACTGGAAACTACACGATTTTCCAACAAAAGGATAAACAATATGTTAGTGGATACATTCAAAGACCGACGACCGATGAAGTCAACAAAGTATAAAAACTGCATTATAGTAACTAACCCGAAATGTATCGAAAATCAAAGCTGGGCACTAACCAGTTAAAAAGTTAAATTTAAGTTTAGACGTTATTTTTTAAGTGACTTTCTAAATTAGCTAGTTCATTTTTATACGTAATAACTTTGTAACTTAACTAGATGATAGATATAAATACATTTTCTTTTAAAATCAGTACCAGTTACCAGGTACACAAAAACATAATAATTTTAAAAAATATATATTTTACGAATTATTACGAGAAAATTACATTTGTTTTTAATGAATAGTGATCAAAATATCATTTTTGAATTATTATTAATTATTAATGTTATTGTTTAAGATAATTGTAGTTTTTCACCGTTGTAATCCAGAAGGACTCAACTGTGAGTATTTTCAGTCATGGACACTTACCGATTTATGCACCCTATTGAAGGACAAAAACCAAATATGGTCCAAATGGTACGGGGCGTTTGACCCGCCAATTCTTTGTCCAATAAATCAGGTAATAACCGGTACATGCTTATTTAAAATAAGCCATTTTCTATTGAAAACAAATTGTACAAATTATAATTTCTATACCGTTTTTAAACACCTTACGTACCCACGTTAATATAGTCATTGATTTGAATAAAACATACGGTGGCGTGCGCTAAGGAGTACCCTCTCCTTTAGAAGGCGAGGTAAACCGACACCCCGATTTGCTTTACAACACAACAACCATGGGTATTTCTATAGCAATTAAATATTAATGTGTATAGGTTTCAGCCGAGTAACAAAGAATATCGTGATTTATTGATTAAAAGTTGCGTCTTTGGCTAATTTTCCATTATCCAGCTGGGTAAAGGAAAATATAATACGGTTTATTTATAATGTTGACTGCATCTCTTTCATTCAAAATTCTCGGGCACGCCACTGAAAACATATAATGGATAAGCAGTTTATAATTTATTAACCTACGCTCTGTAAACTGTAATTCAACAACAATAACTTTGTGATATTGTATGCTTATAGTACACATATGTATTCCGAAACTCGACCGGAGAAGTCAATATATTTCTAAAATGGTATCCGGACGTGCTAAACTATCAATGGAAAATAACGCAAAAATTGTACTCCGGCGATTTTTATATCGGCAGCTACGTGATCGAATACGCGATATTTGGCTATAGGAGAAGGAACACAAAACCGAAAAATTAAATTTGAATATTATCATTTAATATTTTAAAAATTATTTTAACCGTCAATTTTTAAACTGCACTATATTTTTATCACACTATATAACTTTTACCATACAACATTGAATAATAATATTTCGGGGCTAAAAATTACTATATCATTTTATTTTCGTCAAGAAAATTACAAAATTCAATGGTTCAAGACAGTGGTGACCGACCACGGCTCATGGGCCGAATCCGGACCGCGATCATTTATTAATCGGCCCACCAAAGTATTAAATGAAAATTGAAAAAAAAAAAATAAATTCAAATTACAAAAATTAACAAACAAAAAAATATATGTTTACAGTTTACATTTTTTCCTCGTTGATAACGATTAATACATAATAAATAATTAAATATATCACTGTGCCTATATTAAGATATAGTTACAGTAAAATATAATATTCTATTGGCTTATAAGTAAAAGTTAAAATTCTTGGCCCATTAAGAATATTATTATTTTTTTTTTTTTTTTTTATGGCCCTCTGTAAAAAAAGGTTGGACACCACTGGTTTAAAATATTAAAAAAAAAAAAAAATTTTATTTAATTTTCGCTTCTGTGACTTAATTACACTGTGTTGTGAGAAAATGAAATTGCGATTGTATATTAAACTATTGACACCGTAAATAAATACTGATATTTGGTGATTGGATTTATAAAACGTATCTTTTACTTGTATACTATACTTAACTATATTCTTGAATGGTTTAATCATGAATGTACAATGTAAATATTTGAAAATAATTTTTCGCACATATTTCACGTATTCTTGTAAAAGCCTAACTATACGGCCACAGTAAATTGGCTAACCTGTGGTTTTATTTAGTGTAAATTAATTTATAGCGCTGTACGCGTCACTTGTATTAATTTGAAAACGAAAATAATAGTAGGACATCTATCCGGCATTTACGTATAAACGTTTAAAACGATTATTGGACAGCCGGTGAGTTCGAGGAAGAAGACCGGGTCTGGCGGGAGTTTAGAACAAGGGTAGCCGACCCCGAATGGTCGGGATGAAGTCGAAGAAGACGGAGAAGAAAGCACGTACTTGATATTATTATATTATATATTTCCCGTCTATACCTCGGATGGCTTAATTACACGGATGTGTATTCAGACAAGGGACAGAAACAACGTTACAAATACTCGCCATTAACATATTAAATATGCGTAAATCGGATAGGTTAGGTTAGGGTCTTCGAAAAACTATACCGAGGATAATAGATAGATTATTGTAACATCGAATAGTTATAAAAAATGATCTCCTCTAATTTTAATAATTGCAGTGACAAAAAAAAAAAAACACATGGTATATTTTGTTTGGTAGTAAAAATATGATACTTATTATAATGATTGATACGACAGACCTTCGGTTGTCACATAATTATGACGCAAAGGTGAATTATTTGGTGTGCGAACGCACAATCACTATACTATCATTTTACACCATCAACAAGATAAATAAATGCATACGTGTATTGGATGAAAAATAAGATAGGTATTGCAAAAATACCCAACTCTCAACGATATGAAATAGTTTACATTTTTATTTTTACATTCTGCAGTTTCAGTATCCAATAGAGAGTCTGCATACACAATACGCATAAAATACGTTCGACGACTTTCGCTTGTGTTACAAATAATAAAATTTAAATTCATTTAATATTTGTACGTATTGAAAAGTATTTTCATTCATACCCGCGTGTGTAAAAACATGGCATTTTATAAAATGTGTTATTTATTTTTTATCGGAGCGTTTGCCATAAATGTTATATCTGTTAGTATTTGTTATTAATTATAACATCGCTTAATTTTTAACTCTTACACGTATTATAACGGAACGAAAAGTGCACGCGATCAATAATATTGCCGTTCGTGTCGGATAGTATAGAAGCGATTTAAATTGTTCAAATTGAATAAGTTGAATTTTTAACTAATGTCACTCATATTTCATCAAGTTACTTCACTGTAACATTTAGTATTTGTAAAATGTGTTAGTGTGTCTAAAATTGTATTTTTATCCCGGTAGTAAAATTTATTGATTTTAGTTCTGATCGTCTCTGAATCTAAAAATTGTATAGTGCTCAAATATAACTCATAATCAACCATGCAGATATCGATTTATTCACATGCGGTGTAGTAACTGTTTATAATGACACCGGTTATCATGACAAACCGAGCATTTGATATTTCGTGGTTTTTTTTTTATTTTTGGATTTTACTATGGTATTAAATAACACAATAGCACGCATAAATTCGGAAATAAATAATCACTAATATTTAGGAAGATTCTAATTTGCAAAAATTATATATGTGTTTGACAGAGAGCGCTATGGTAAGATATTTATAAATGTATTGGTTATCGACTGTAATCATATCCGTTTAATCTCCAAAACGTAATATATTTGTCGTAATACGTATAACTATCATTCATTTGATAACAGCCATAGGGTTCCCGTAGAAAATCTGCTGGGAAAGTATGGAATTTAGATGGCATTCAGGTTTTGAAAATATCGATCCATTTTTATACATACAGATTGAAAATCGAGCTATTAATTTTATGGTACTATAAAAAGTCGGCCAATACTCATTTAAAAATATAAAACAAAAACCGTGCCGTCTGCGAGGGAGACTAGTACGGACGCTTTCCCGCCTTCGAGCTTCCCCGCTCCCCGACAGATTAGGTTAGGCTTCACTTTCTTTGAAATCTACCCCCTCCAAAAAAAAAATTAGAAATTTTGATATTTTCGTATGAAAATCTCGAAAAAATTTCATTAAAGAACCTATTTTTCCACCTATTTGTTCTTATTCATTACTGACACGGTTAAAATCAAAAAGGAATACGGGCAAGAAACGGGAGACAGCTAGCCTATTATATAAGCATTTGTTTGATTTTTTTTTTTTTTTGCTTATCGTCCTTTTACAAAACAAAGGTTTAGTACCGGCAGTTTCAGCAGGTCACAATTTGTAAAATAATCCAAAGGTGGCGGTGATAATTCACCACTGTTATAATTTAAATCATTCATCAATAATATACCTACTTTACATCAAATATTAAAAACATTCATGTACGTAGGTAATAATACCGTGATACCATCTGATTCCAAAATACATTTTTTTTAAATTGTATTTCAATATTATATTTTTTCATGTAAGCAGTTCATATGAGCAAATAAATATTTTTTTAGTACAATCCAATGTTGACGTACGTTGTTCGCATAGTAAAAATAACCTCATATCCTAATATTACATGGAATTATTCGGTTGACACTTACAAAGGAAAATATTATGTGAACGGAAACACATCGATTACTACGGATAAACTAATCGATAAAGTAAGTGGATCTATATTGTACGGTGTACACTGATACCTAAGTGATATTGTAATTTCTAGATCTAACTGTAGTTAGACAAAATATATAATTACCTATCAGCGGCTTTGTCAATCAACGCACATACATACGAGTGTACGCACGTATACTCGTTTACTGCACAGAATTAAAACGGAAATGTACCAAAATTAAAAAAAAAAAAAAAATTGTCTCCTCATATTCCCGAAAAATAAATATGACGTATTGTTTTTATGTCATCCGGATCGTCATATACCGGACGACCATCGTAGAAGACATCCGCGTACCTATCATAGTGCCATATACCGGGTCGACCGTACCCAATTAAATACCTATTGAAGTAGTGGAGGCCTACAACTGTGCTGATCCAGATGAAATAAAAACAAAAAAATGTATTATTAGGAGACACAGGGAGGCAATTTTACTGATTGCAAAATGGTCCCGTACGACTTTTTCCGTATTAGTATTTAAGGAAAACTTGCATTAGTTTTAGATTCGGAGTGTAGCGAGGGATCTATTGGTTGTACTATGTCTGTCTGTGAACAGCCTTTGTACCAGAAAATTTGCTCTGGAGTATAGCGCCTTTTCTGAAAGGTAATTTTCTCTAGTTGGTGCATTGAGGGGGTCATTTTTTGTTTTTCAAAATAATTCAAAAATTGCAGCACAACGGTTTCATTATTTTTAATTTTTAGAACTTATATTTTCGACCAAAGATATTATTTCAATGGATAAACGACAAGATACCTTTTTGGTTGCATTTTGAATCTAGTTTCTAGGTTATTAATTCGTATTTTTATTTTCTCTATAATTTTATTAATAATTACGCATTACCAAAACAAAAAAAAAATAACCATAGAAATAACTGGAAGTTTTACGAAAATAATGCTTTTGTTATATTCAATTTTGTTTTTTCGTTGTAGTTCTGTTTAAAATATTTATAGATACTTAAAATATGGACAGACAACTTACATGTCTTTTCAAGACTTGGTAAAACTATCGTATTGTTTAAGCTACGTAATTATTTATAGACATTTTAATTAGTTGAATTTTTTACGTAATTATTATTTGGTAGGCACTCTGTAAATAAATTGTTACACTAAATAGAAATGCTTGAAAAATTGATTGGAGGTTCGTTATAAGTGAAGTTTCGTGGTCAAAAAAAAAAAATTTAATTTAATGTTTTTTTTTTTTTTTTAATTAAAGTTTTAAAATCAAATTTTGACAAAAATGGTAATTATTACGGCCTTTCTAAACATGGATAACTTCGTTCCGAATCGTTTTTCGTTATCAATGATTTATCGTTAGTTACAGTTTTAAATTAACCACTTTATGTATCCTGCCTTCCCCACTATACTGACCTGCAACAGTGGCCGCACCGAATCATAGTATCAGCCCTTTTTTTTTGTTTACATATAAATACTGTTTAAGGTTGTCGGCGTGTTTGAACGTTGTGCCCCGGAAGGCATTAACTGCGAATACTTCCAATCCTGGACATTAACAGATATTTGCCCAAAATTATTGGACAAGAACCAAATTTGGTCATCTTGGTACGGTCGTTCATTTGACCCACCAGTAGTTTGTCCAATAAATAAAGTAAGTCAAGAAACAATTCCACTTTATGAGTTCGTAACTAATAATTACAGATGAGTAATTTTGTGTAACCAACGAACTGTAACCACGTATTAACCAAAAATATCTTCATAAAACTAATATATATGTCGTATCCACTTGGTGTAATCGTATTTTACATGAAATGGATGTTGTGAATGTGAAACAAAACGGTGTGCTTGTTTTAAAGCTTCTGTTAAGTGTAACAGTCGTTGCCATAGCAGTAATAATATTTGTAAAAATAAGTATTAAGAAGTATTTTTGGTTTTTTCATCTTACCTATTGATGTAATTAATTAAAATTTATCTGCCGAACGATCGATATCTCATCTTTACAATTTATTAATAATAAATATAGTACGGTGCGATACGTACCAGTATCAATGTTATTATTTCGATTTCACGAAAAGTTACCTATTGATGTAATTAATTTAAAATATTACACAAAGTGTAAAACAAGAGTTTCCATTTCATGAAATGGATAAAATATATGTCCGTTTCATGAACTAAAATTTGACTTACACGTTATGATCGTAGTTCATGAAATGAACGTCCATTTCATGAAAAATACGATTACACTAAGTGGATACGACATATACACTTCCTTTTTCCGCATGTACAACTCCAATTGGTTTTTGTTTTTTTTTTTTTTTCTGTAGTCTTACTTTTAAAATAATTAAAACCATGTTACATTTATTTCGTATTATGACAGCTTCCAATTTATATTTAAGACATTTAAAATTTGATTATTGACTCTTAACTATATATAGCTACTTATTTGACTTTTATAGATACATTATCAGATAAGGAACGGAACATTTGATCTCGACCCAATAATAAAAATCTATACTGATGCCACGAACTATTATTGGAAATTGACACAGAAAATGTACGCTGGAAACACACTTGTGGGTTCTTATAAAATAGAAACGGTTTTTTTGGGGTATAGAAAAAAGAACAAGCACCCATAACTATTGCCATCGTCGTGTTTTATTCCACTTTAATTATGTTTCGTATCATCCTATATACACCTAATATTTATTAATTTTTTTGTGTAATCAATAATCGTTATTCATTATATTTATTATAAATTAGTAAATATAACCAGTGGTCAACTCGGATGAACGAAGTGATCGGAGTCATCTTCTTGGTTAAGTTATCAGTCGCCTTTAATTTAGGTTTTCAAAGTCCGGACGGATGCTTTAGTTATTGGCACTTAGACATTTCAAATGATATTTTAATATTCGAATTAGTCTTATTAAAAATTATTACTTTAATACCCAGTAAATTATTCATTAGTAGACATCGTACTTGTTTGTATACATAGTATGTATGTAATCAATAATCAATATATACATATTTTATAAACCATTATATAATTAATTTTACAATTACGGTAAGTCTGTAAAATAACTATAACCACTCATGTCACATAAATAATCAAATTTGTATACATATATATATATATTATTAAAATTGAGAAAAAAATTTGATTTTTTTTTTTTTTTTTTTTTGTATAACAATTCGATAACATGTACCTTATCAACGATATTATTTTTCGAGAAGCCTTGCCTAACTAAAGATTTTTTTTTTATCTTCTTGTAGATTGAGCCGAATCGATGATGAAGGAGGTGTTGTTAGCACTGATCCTTCCGGCTTGGCCTACTCTCCTGAACGGAGCCGCCTCTGAAATCTTAATAACGGTTATTTATAGTGTTTTGTTTCTGTCTCTTTTCTGAATATACATCCGTGATATTTAGCCATCTAAAGTAAAGATGTTATAAAAAATATATAGTATAATATCATGCATACCTTTTCTTCTTCATCTCCCTCACTTTTATCCCAACTATTTGGAGTCTGCTACCTTCGTTTTAAACTTCCACTTGATCAGATCTCCCACCTCCAATACCACATCTGTCCTCATTATAATTCTATATGTCACCTAACCACCTCATTTTCAGTCTTCTTCTCCATTTCTTTCCTCCTACGTTTATTTTACTTACAGTACTCACAGCCTCTCTTCTCGTGACATGCCCGAACCATATCATTCCATTCTTTCTGCTATCGAAACCACGCATAATATGTATTTATATAATGCATATTATTATATACTCATCAATTTTTCTATCTTCTTCAGTAATTTCACTCCTCCATTTAAACATTGTCATCTATGCTACACTCATTCTTTGGTCTATGGTACACTCATACAACTTAGTCAGTGTCGACACACATTCGTAAAACATAACTTTAAGTCTCTTTTGAATTATTTTGTCTCATTAAATACCTGACGCTTCGATACTTTTGACGCTCCACCTGGCACATTTTCAATTTACCAAGAACGATTTACAGAATTTTGCTATACTCATAGTTACGAAAACAAAAGTGTTTTGTAAAAAATTTAAATTTTACATATGCGTATTAACAAAGATTTGTGTTAATAAAACTAAAACAATATTGATTGTTGATACGATTGATCATAGACCATCATCCTATTGTCGCATAGTGTGTGGAGTGTATTATTTCGCGGATGAGTGTACTGCGGTACAATATTAATATAAATACCTTTTAAAACAACACGGAAATCTATCTATTGCGATGATATGATAATAGTCCGCAAGGGCAGACCGGCCGGTCGGGACACCGGAAATTTTCGCTGTGGCCCAGTGTCTGATGTGGCCATATGGACAGTGGTTGTTGTAAACAAAATTAAAACTTAAATTTAAAACTATAAGCTAAAATGTAGGATTACCGGAATGATTTGTTTGTAAAAATAATTGTTCGGCTCTATTCAGAATCAAAAATTCCGATTGGTACACTTTTTATGAATCATTAATAAAATATAATAAAATCAATTCGCATAATTGTACAGGTAGGTGTATTCGTCTTAAATGCGTATTAAATCAAAATTATTAGATACTCACGATACTCTTCAATACAATTCAATGTTGACAAGCTAACATATAGTATTTTAAAAGTTACAGTATATCCGACTTCACTGGGTCTTTCAGAACTGATAATTACAAAGAACTAAGACCGGATCGTTCGGAAAAATAAGTAAAATGAAATAATATTATAAAATAGTACCGTAGTTAGATCTTGTGATAAAGATCAGTATCGAATGAGTATTAAGTTTTTTCTATCTGAGATCTTGCTCGATACGGTGTAGTAACTTTCGGAGTTTTCTCAACAAACGGAAGAAAAACGGGAAGATAAACGATATGTAAGTATTAGAAAATATATTAAATATATTAAAAAATATTACGGCCTTTTTTTTCCTGTAAACAAATTTTTCCAAGCATTTTTGCTTCGATTTACAATGATAGCACTTTTCTAGAAAATCCCATTGGAAAGGTACTTTAGGAAGATCATCCTTTTAGTTTTAGGTTTTCCCAAAAAATGTGAAAACCCGGGAAAAAAGTAGGAAAACCGAGAAAATCGGTACAATGTTAAACAAATATTATTAAAGAAAACCTATAAGGCCTATAATTATTTTACAATAATATGACATATATACATCGTTGACGAATCACTATCAACTGAACTGCGCTATAAAACGCATTAGATATTTGTTTGATATTCAATAAAACCGATTTTGGTTTATATGACATACTTCCTCGTGTAGCTCGGTTTAAAATAGTTCTTGATTATNGAGTATAGTTGTTGATGTTAATAAAGCGGCTATAAATTTACCGTTGAATGAATGACTGTTGTGAAAATAATATTACGTTCACGGTCCATGTAGAAAATTAGATATTTGTTTGATATTCAATAAAACCGATTTTGGTTTATATGACATACTTCCTCGTGCAGCTCGGTTTAAAATAGTTCTTGATTATTGGACAAAATTTTTCCAACAATTTGTATCTGTGTGTTACAAAATTAAAATAATACATCATTAATATTATTTAAACAATTCCTTTATAATTATATATTCAGAATATTCAAAAAATATTTCATTTATAATGTTATATTAATAACATATCCTCATTATTATTTTACAAAATATTTATTTAATATACTGTCAACATTTATTTAATAATATCATTTTTTTTTTTTTTTTTTTTTTTTTTTTTTTGATGAAAAATAATATTAATATAATATTATCATTACGGATATGCTATCTGGGTATACTACGCTACAAATCTGAAAATAACTTCAAAATTATGTTGAGTTAAATTGTATCTAATATCAATTTTCAATAATTAATGTTTTATAGGTTCCGAGTGATCATTTTATGGTGGTGGAATAAAATGTTTTAGCGTTTGTATTTCTGTCCGTATTCACAGATACATCACCTAGAAAAATTTTTGTATAAACATATATAGTATTATTTATTTTTTTTTTTTTTTTAGACATTTTAAATATATTTTAGGACATTTGAATCCGTTCTTTAAATAATATTTATTTATATTATTGTATTCTCGATTCTGAATGAATTACATACAGGAGATACAGGATACAGGCGAGAATTTAATGTATATCTGTTAACAACGATAAACCATTGCTAAAGGAAAACGATTCTGAGCGGAGTTTAGTTAATAGTGTAGCTAAAAATAAAATAAAATATAAAATATATTTGTTATATGTCATATTATGGTAAAATGATTACAACAATGTGCGTTTCCATGAAAACAATAATTCTTTAAAAAATATAAAAAATGAATAATAGGCAAAAATAAATAAAAACTGTTGCCAATGATAAACTTATTTTTAATCTTTCAATCATTTTTTACACAAAGACCGAGGTTTTCCTCGTTATCTCGAATATTAATGAGAATTTCAAAGAATAACCTCCCTGAAGTACCACCCAAATAACATTTCCTTTCAGAAAAATAGCTATATTTAATAATCGGAGTACGTTTTCTAGTATAAAAAATGCATAAATAAAAATAAAATAAAATAATCATCACTGTAAGACCAATGCATTCCTCGCTACCTTCCGAATCTGAAAACAACTACAAAATATTTCTTAAATTAAATTCTATTAAAAATGTTAATTGTCAATATTTAATTTTTTTTTAAATATATGTACAATCTCAGATTAATATTTTACACCGCCTGTATATACCTAAATCAGCATAAAAAATTCCGAATGATCATCATTATGATAATGGAATAAAATGTTTTGACATACGTACAATACATACAATACTTTGACGGATACATCACCAAGGAAAATATTTGTATAAACATATCAATTTATGACAATTCCAATAATATTATCGCAGTTAATACCAATTGCATTACAGTATCTAATCTAACCTTCGGTTGTCACACGTTTATGAGGAAAGGACACTTTATATTATGTATAGGTGAATAANTTTTTTGATGAAAAATAATATTAATATAATATTATCATTACGGATATGCTATCTGGGTATGCTACGCTCCAAATCTGAAAATAACTTCAAAATGATGTTGAGTTAAATTGTATCTAATATCAATTTTCAATAATTAATGTTTTATAAGTTCCGAGTGATCATTTTATGGTGCTGGAATAAAATGTTTTAGCGTTTGTATTTCTGTCCGTATTCACAGATACATCACCTAGGAAAATATTTGTGTAAACATATATAGTATTATTTATTTTATTTTTTTTTTTTTTTTTTAAACATTTTAAATATATTTTAGGACATTTGAATCCGTTCTTTAAATAATATTTATTTATATTATTGTATTCTCGATTCTGAATGAAGAGAGGAATATATTTTTTTTTTTTTTTTTTACTTTAGTGTATGTGTTGTATTTTCGTATCTATAAACAACTTTTTTATATCAATAATTTTGCTCTGATCCGAAACTTCATTGAAACTTTTTTGTAGTATTTGTAATCAAATTGATGCGTTAAGAAGGATGTTTTTTTTTTGATATTTCTAGTAGTTTTCTTAGTAAACAGAAAAAACTAACAATTGAAATCGTATATTTGTTGGTTTCTGGGTTANTTTTTTTTTTGATATTTCTAGTAGTTTTCTTAGTAAACAGAAATAACTAACAATTGAAATCGTATATTTGTTGGTTTCTGGGTTACCTTCGTAACATGGGAAAACAACTTGTACTTTTAGAAAAAGTTCTACACTTACACATCGGAGCAAGGTTACTAGGAAAAAGGTGTCCACAGACTAGGAGAACAAAAAATAAAAAGAAAAAATAAACATTTTAGTAAAACCAAAATGTACATATTTTGTGCTTTTTTTATTACAATTTATGATTACTCATTCGTTACCGATTTTACATAATATAAACATTGCCGTGTTCGTAAAAAAACGCTACATCCGTTTAATAACTTCAAGTAAACGGTCGTCCGACATCTAGTATGTTTATATATCTGTGGATGTATCTCCAAAATTCGAAAAGAAATTCCCGAAAGGTCAACAGTTATCCATTTTTTTTTTTTTATTGTAATTCTCTTATCCTTTACTACTTTTTCCTACGAATTGATAAAACGGCCAAATCATTTGAAAAATGCACAAAAACAAAAACGAGCTGATACTGGAGACTGCGTGCTATTATTGAAAGCAAGTATATTTAAATTGAATACAGAAGGTTATTTGGCTAAAACCAGTGACCAACATTATATTATTATATAAAAATATTAAATTAATGAAATGGAAAATTAATGTTAAATTGAATTACAATAAATATAACATTTACTGTTTTTCAAAATGTATGCGAAATCTCAGATTAACATTTAGGTACAGCCTGCATTAGCCTGTAAATTTCGAATGATCATTTTATGATAATAGAGTAAAATGCTTTGATATATTTTTGTCCGTATACAAAACACCTAGGAAAATATCTCTGTAAACATACAGTAATGGCAATACTAATAATAATATCGCAGTTAATACCAATCGTAATACGAAATCTAATCCGACCTTCGGCCGTCGCATAATAACGTGGAAAATGCACTTTATTTGGCGTATAGGCGCATAATTATACTGTACAGTTGATATTAATAAAACGACTATGAATTAAACGGAAATCTGATTGTTGTGAATATAACATTATGATCGCGGTCCATATAGAAAATCAGACGTTTGTTTGATATTCAATAAAACCGGACTCGGTTTACGCGACATAGTTTCCTGGTGCCTGTCAGTTTAAAATAGCTCTTGATTATTGAACGAAACACTTTCAACAATTTTTGTGTGTGTTACAAAATAATATTATTTCGTTTCTCTTTCATTTATACGATCACATTGTTGAAGAATGACGGTATTGAAGTTGTATTTTATATTCTGCATCGGAGTATACGTCATAAGCGGCGCCTCTGTTAGTATATTAAAACGTTAACTGTTACTCACGCGCTTATTACTTTTAATAAATAACGACCGAGATAATTAATCAAAAATATCATAATTTAAATCGCATGCGAAAAACAATATTATTGAATGAGATTTTTTTTCATACCCCTCCATAGAGTTATTGTTTTCAGCGTAATTGTTCGGGTACAATTTAATTCATATAATTATATGATATGTTACTATGATATTTAGTTCAATCCATTTAGAAGGTACTTGGTACGCATGGTAAAAATGACTACACGTCCGAACATATCTGCGCTTTACACAATTGACCAGTATAGAGGAAAGTACGTAATCAATGGGAATGCCACCATTCAAACGTCCGAATTAATCGACAGAGTAAGCAAAGCAATATATAATAATTTGGAACAGTAATAATAAGACACTATAAGTTGTATCAAACAAAAGTTGTTTTTTTTTTTTTTTTTTTTTTTTTGCATAGGTAGGTTGCATTTTTTGGGCGGTCCGAAAAAAAATTTTTTTCACGGACGTCGTTTTGTCATTTATTTTTATAACTGTACGAATACCATCACGTCTTAGTTTACGGAAAAATAGAAATAAAAACTATATTGCGTTATTTACACAAAATCACTGCTCATTAACTTTTTTTTTCGTATAATAAAATGCGCGACGGTATTGATGTTTGATACATCTGTGCAAATAATATATAAAGATGCGCCCATGAAAACACAAAATTTATTAACGCGCACGCACGTGTCATTATACCCATTATACTCCGTATAATTAACAGTTTCACATGTAACTACAATGTAAAAATGTCAAATAGTCCTGTTACACTCTGTATAGTCCACGAATAAGTGTAAGTTACTGTGCACTCATTTTAACTCCACGGCCCGAACCTTACCAATTAGCTAATTAACTTTCTGTTGGCACTTTTGAGGATAGACAGTGTATACAATATACATAATTATTATATTTGTATGGTTTGTAAACTGTTGTTTAAGGTAAGCGTAATTTTTAACCGTTGTAATAAAGAGGGAATTAACTGTGAATACTTTCAAAACTGGAATTTTAATGATGTTTGCCAAAAATTATTGGAGAAGAACCAAATTTGGTCATCTTGGTATGGGAGTTTCAAACCGCCTCTTACTTGTCCAATAAACAAAGTAAGTACGCATAGACATCGACAAATATAGTGGAAACCTTGAAAAAAATTTTAAAATTTTAAAGGCGTTTTTTTTTTTTTTTATCGGTTTTTGTTGAATAAATTATAAACTCTTATAGGTGCATTATCAAATACAGAATGGAACATTTGATTTTGAAATTATAAGTCTGTGGTATCCCGACGCGACAAACTATTATTGGAAAGTGAATCAAAAATTGTACGCTGGAAATATATTTGTGGGTTCATACACGATTGACATCTATTTTTTCGAATACACTGTGAAAATGAAGCCCCTCAAATTGTCATTTCTGTAATAAATTTTCTTTCTTTCTATTATAATTGATTCGTAAAATATATATATATTTAATCATTTTTCCGTCATTAATTTGTACAAATAATATTATGTGGAACGGAGTACACTATACAGGATTTGTGAGACATGATGTCTCACAAAAATTATACCCAATTCATTATCTCTAGAAATAATAAAAATAATCAAATTCGATTCTATTTTTATATTACTCGCAGAGATGGAAATACAAATGTTTATATTTGAATGAAATTTTTGAATTTTGGTAAAAAAAAAACTAAAAAAAATAATTTTTATTTTATAATTTTCAAAAAATTTGAAAATTAGAATTTCCGAACAAATTCTACTTAATTATAAACATTTGTATTAAAAGTCATGTTATAGATTTTACATTATTCTTCTGGAAATTTCGAAACGCAATCGAATTCCCTTTTTGATTATTATTATTGTTATTACTGTGCGGCTTATAGTCTGTACACTTTTTTCACTAAACTATAAAAAATTATTAAAAATCATGAATTTAATGATAACAATAAATTAATACGCTACAAATTTTTTAAGTGTAAACTCTATAAAATTGCTATCTTCAAATTTTTCAACGATTATACTATAAAAATGGATTTGTACTATACAAATGGATTTGTATTGTTATTGTTTTAAGTCTTTTACCAAACGATAAAAAATGAACTGAAATATAAATATTTGTATCTTTGAGTAAAAAAGAAAAAAAAACTAACAATATTTTTATCATCTCCGGAAATATCTATGGGCCACCCTGTGTAGAATAGATATTATTTGTAAGTAGGTACCACGATTAAAAGGACGCCACACCGACGTCTACTGTGTCCGTCTTACAAACGCGAGGCATAGCAAATTCGCGTTCAGTAGGACGCATTTTGTGCCGTCAGTTTTAATATGATAGTGAATTGACCTATTACCAAAATGAAAAGTAAAAAGATTATATATGCCCTACCGCTAATGTTTTTTCGATATTTTAATTTTTCAGCAAGATATAATCATTTTTAAATTTCGCTATTTAACATACTCATAATCATTAAAAGATAATAATATCGAATAATCTTCAACGCTAGGGCACATACATAATCTTCTTACCTTTAATTTCGGTAATGGGTCAATTTGCTTTAATATTAAAACTAACGGCACAAAATGTGTCCTACTGAACTCGAATTTGCTATGTTTCGCGTTTGTAAGACGGAAACAGTAGATGTCGGTTTGGCGTCCTCTTGAACATGTTCTGTATTCAAGATATAATATAATATAACTAAAGAGCGGATGTTTATGCATTTATCATATTTTTTTTATGACGTCTAAATTAATGCAGAGTAAGATAGAAATTTGTTTCGTCACTCAAAGAATTAAAATTACCGATTCAGTTTTGCATATTTGTTCGATTTTTACTTGCTTGATCATATTTTCATATTCATAGCATGATCGTTGAATAGAATCAGTGCATATTTTAGGTTTTTCGCAGTATATAACGTACGTTCAACGATTATTTTTACCAAAACTGAAACAAACCTGCGATAGTACTTCTCGATACAATATTAATTATTGTGATAAATTTTATGTCAATTTTTCAGTTGTGTGATGTGTTCCAGGCTTCGTTCTTTTCGTTTACGTCCGAAGTGAGTTTCTATATTGTATAAATGCCGAAAACTTCGAGATCGTCGCCACTACGTATTTTTGTTTCTGAATTTAAATTTTTTGCTACCGATGGATTTGTTTTATACTGTACATTGTGTACAATAGGTACTTCATTAAAAACGGCGTTTTCTAGTTCTTGAGCATATTAATACAAATAAACATATCAAACATTTCAAAGATAAATCCCTGTCAACTATAATTCTATTGATCCATATTTTAAATATATTCTAGGCATATTTTTATACTTTAAATGTACATAACCGCGTGTATATTTTTCAATTTTTTCGAGCACAAACATCCGCTCTCTAATACTAACATTAATAATAATGGATGAGAAGGTATAGGCGGTATTGTAGTTGATAAGGTGCCGCAGACTACACAATGGTAATTTATCAATATTACGTCGTAGTTGGTAATAATAAAATATTAATTTTTATTACCGTATCATCAATATAATCGAATATTTATACTGGCGATACTATCGAATTACCCGAATTAATCGATAGTAACGATACGGTCGATTGACCGATTAATCCGTTTTTTTCTTTAATTAAATCATTTATATTATTGGTTCTATCGATTAAAATGTCGATACTATCGATTAATCGCGCAGGCCTAATTGCCATTAAATAAATCAATTTTTTATCAATTATTTACGATTTTATAGAAATTAAAATATACTTTACTTTAATCATTTTCTGGTGACTATTCTAATTTAATTGGCAGCTATTTAATATTTATAAAACTAATTGATTGTATTTAAAACCCTATAAGTAGCGAATCAAACAAATTCTACCTAATTATAAACATTTGTGTTAATTTATGAAAATTTTAGTACGAAATAGCTCGGTTCTAAGTATAGCTGGATTTCTGTATGTGGTTCATTTTAATAAATTTTGTTTACGTCTTCATTTTTATTTAAATTGTATTATTAAGACTTATTTGACCACTATCTACAAAAAGTGAGTAAATAATAGTTATTACCTGTCATTATTTTATACTATGTCCAGGTTAATAGTTTCACTATATTTGTACTACCTATAACAACCATTTAAATTAGTTAATTTATTTAAAAAGTTAAAAAAATAAATGAAATGCTTATGAATGCACTTTAAATCGATTAGTTTGCATGCGTTCGACGTTTGTACTCTAACTATAGGTTTTAATTTATAAGACACCTGAAAAATTGAGGCTTGAAAATGTACTTAACACACAGTTCCGCTTAAGAAATAACATATGCACTAATGTAAACAATTAGTACCGTAATAAAGCACCACTAAAATAGCACTCGGTGAAATACTCGTACTAAACTTAACCTACCATATATGATTCTGACCAGAGGGTTTGTGGTCGGCAAGTCGATAGTAAATTTTATGTCAAATTACGGTACTGATTTCAAATCTGGTCTTAGATTTGTAAGGTTCGCTATTGTTTTTGAGATAATCAATCATTCTTAAAAAATCGAAAATTATACAGTTAAATTCTTATACTACTACGCTACTTTCCGAATCTGAAAATAACTACAAAATATTTCTTAAATTAAATTCTATTAAAAATGTTAATTGTCAATATTTAATTTTTTTTTAAATATATGTACAATCTCAGATTAATATTTTACACCGCCTGTATATACCTAAATCAGCATAAAAAATTCCGAATGATCATCATTATGATAATGGAATAAAATGTTTTGACATACGTACAATACATACAATACTTTGACGGATACATCACCAAGGAAAATATTTGTATAAACATATCAATTTATGACAATTCCAATAATATTATCGCAGTTAATACCAATTGCATTACAGTATCTAATCTAACCTTCGGTTGTCACACGTTTATGAGGAAAGGACACTTTATATTATGTATAGGTGAATAATTATAGAGTATAGTTGTTGATGTTAATAAAGCGGCTATGAATTTACCGTTGAATGAATGACTGTTGTGAAAATAATATTACGTTCACGGTCCATGTAGAAAATTAGATATTTGTTTGATATTCGATAAAACCGATTTTGGTTTATATGACATACTTCCTCGTGCAGCTCGGTTTAAAATAGTTCGTGATTATTGGACAAAATTTTTCCAACAATTTGTATCTGTGTGTTACAAAATTAAAATAATACATCATTAATATTATTTAAACAATTCCTTTATAATTATATATTCAGAATATTCAAAAAATATTTCATTTATAATGTTACATTAATAACATATTCTCATTATTATTTTACAAAATATTTATTTAATATACTGTCAACATTTATTTAATAATATCATTTTTTTTTTTT